ATCATAAGCAAAACTTAGGCAAAGGCACATGGCATTGACACCCCAGAGAAAGTGAACGTCAGACAGCAAGCATGTCTTTTTAACAAATCTGCAGGTAAAAATTGCACTTAATCATGAGCACATTCAAAACAAAAGCAATCTTAAGATCCCCAAGACATTTAAAAACTCATGAACCGCAACGCAACAAAATAATTAATGAAGGCAGAGGCAAGGCCAATGGAAAACATCATGATTGCCACACTTCCATGATCCAACATATTTATATTAAATTAAACAAAACATTCTTTTGGTTTGGTAAAATAATTGTTTGTGTGTCCCAAACCACAAACGGGGATCTGCATGCGCTGGGCTGGCTGGGCGTGCGAGCTTTGCTATTATGTCTCCAAACCTGACGTGCTTCTGGTTCTACAAGTTTTCATTTTTGTGGTTCAACCCAAAATTATTTCAAAGTAAAACACGCAATTGGACTCAGTCAAGTTCATTTGTTATTTTCTCTTTTCTTGTGAGCTTCAAATTAGGTGGAACAAAAAGGGATTTGTTCCTAACTTCCCTGTCCATTTCAAATCATTTTCTATCAGTTAATCAAATAGAGATTGAAGCTTACCCAACTTTACTATTGGAGTCCCCATAATTGGAATCAAAATACAATAAAATTTTCCGGTGTGAAACACACAAGATACACGACTGTTCTTAATATGACTCATTTACGATTGAGGCGCTTATGACTTATAATTTTTTTAATATACACAAAACATAAAGAGAAAATGAAGAACAATCAATCAAGGAACACCCCACTTTCTGATCAGACAATGTATAAGTTGTGATGATCAACACAATGTCAATGTGAATTTTTCTTTTTTCACACATATCAGGGTCTTATAAGTTATATTTATGACTTATGAGAGACAACTCATTCACGATTGTTCTTAGCATGACTCGTATGGAGATTGAGAGACGCTTATAATTTATACATTATATATATACACACAAACAAAGGTGTATAAAAGTTGCGATAATGAAATAGTGTGACTGTGATTTTCTTTTTTCACACATGTTGGGGTCCCACGGTTTATGTTTATGACTTATGAAGAGACAGAGGGATATGAGAATCTCTACAACTCCAACTCTCCACGGCACGTCAAAGGCCGATCTCATTTGCTTTTGTTTGTTTTGATATACAAATGTGACAGATGCAACCATCGTCATCATCATCATACTTAGCTTTGCGACTTTTAGGGCTTGATTTAGCAGCAGCCTAACCCAGGTTTTGGATTTTAACACTATCTTTAATCAGCATGGACGTTCATGGAGCCTCAGATATCAGAGTCGTCCATTGCCATTTGAAGTCTCCAGAAGAGAGGCCTCGTCGGGTCAACAACACAGGCTGAATTGTCGGTGGTACACGTGGTCAATCTCCACGAGAAAACGACATGGTATGAGATTGTGTCTCAGTGAATGATTGTAGAATGTCAAAAGCAAGTGGACAAATGAATATGCCTGTTTCCCTCATGCCACCTCTCATGCACTAGGTTTAACCATCACCCCACAAAAATTTACCATAAATTTAGTGGGTTAATAATACAACAAAAAATGTAGAGGAGGGTCACCACAAGGACCGAGCGGACGACTTTCAACCGCTAATGCATTGTAAACTTCACATGTAGTAATAATTTGAAGTCGCTTTATCACAAACATGAGAAGAGGAGTGAGTGACTCTCAATTGCTATTGCATTGTAGATGCCACATGCATCAATTCAATAGTTGAAGTCGCATACTCTCGGACATAAGATGAACGATTCTCAACAGTTGATACATTGTAGACTTCACATACATCATCAGTAGTCTTGAACATGAGAGACTTCCCTAGACCTCTCTCTGAACACAAATAAATTGATAACAGAAAAATAATTAATTTTGAGGGGATAAAAGGAAGTTGAGAAAACACATGAAAGGATTGATGGATCTAGACCAGATGATCAAATGACTTTACAGTGTGACTAGGTATGCGGAGTAGGGAACTGTGGTTTGGTGGGTCTGGTTAGCATTGATGGTACAAATGCACGCAGTAGTGGTAGAAATTTATGAAGGGGCTCTCAGTTCACTGATTTTACTCAAGTTCGCTGTAACATTCACTTCCCTACACAATAATGCCTGCAGGGGTTTAGTGCTTTCTTGCATCACTCCTTTTCTTCTTACCACTGTTTGCTGAAAAAGCAAACGTAAAGTTGACGCCTCCTTCATCTATCAATTCATTTCACTTCAATTCAAATTCAATCACTCTGAAATTTCATAGCATTCTCCATACCACTCTGATTCTTGAAAATCCCAAAAAAAAATCTCTTTTACCACTCTTTCATGTTATCAATTCAATTACCATTCTTTCAAATTCAAGCCCACATTGCTTTCTGCCTTCCATTGATCTTCTTCTAAATCTCATCAAAATCAAAATCTTTTGTTTTATTTGACATACCCTTTTTCATTTGAAACTTTATCTTCAAGATTGAAGCGGCAGGGGAGCCATGAAAGACAGAGGCAAAGCTGTGGAAGCACATAACAACATTGACATGGAGTACTTTTCTTCATCTGAAATGCCATGTAGAAAACACCCCAATTCATCATCAGTTGGGATATGCGCTTACTGTCTTAAAGAACGTTTGGTCAAGCTCGTCTGCTCAGATTGTGGCGAGCAGCGTCTCTCTTCCTGCTCTTGCTCTGAGATCTCATCAAACCGAAACTCATGCACTGTGGAGGTAGGCAGCGTTGGCAGAGTCTCATTTCTGATTGAGAATGAAAAGCATGAGACTTTACAATCAAATTCCAAGGCCAACAAGACCCAAGAGAAAGAGGATGTTGTGGTGCTCAGGAGAAGCAGCAGTAGCTGCGTTGAGATTAAAAGAAGTGGGTTTTGGAGATTTGGGAGGTTGTTTAGGAAGAAAAGATCAGACAAAGATTGTGGGAACCAAAGCGTTGTTGGGTTTGATGAGAAAAGTGAGATGTGGCTCGTTGATCATATGGGCGTGTCAAGGTCCAGGTCTCTCTGTAGTTTCAGGGGCGGTGGCTTTTTTGGGTCAGAGGATGGTGGAGAACATTTAATGGTTTCTGGGGCCAGGAGCTCAATTTCAGCTGCAAGAAGTTCCAGTGTCACTACTGCTGGTATGGTTTTAGATTCTGGAAGAAAAAGTGGGTTCAGTGAAGGAAGAAAGAGCGGATTCAGTGAAGGAAGGAAGAGCGGATTCAGTGAAGGAAGAAAGAGTGGATTCAGTGAAGCAGAGCCAAGAAAAAGTGGTTTTGATGGTGAAAAGAAAGATGAGGTTTTGGCTTCTGAATTGGGTACTGATTTTAAGGGTGTCAAGAAAAATGGCCTTATGGAGGCTGCTGATAAGGGTTTCAGTGGGGCAACAAGAAGAGTTTTCTCACTCAAGGAGAGTGATTTTAGTGGCATGGATGAATCAGGGTTTATTGACTTGAAGCTTGATTATTCAGCCGATTCCAAGCCAGAATTCTCTGCAATGAAGATGGGAAATATCACAGATACAGATTCTGTATTTGGAAGCATGAGAGGCAGTGACTTTGTGGCAAATGAATGTGGAGGTCCATTTGGAGGTCTAATTGGAGATGGTATTTTCAGCCATGGAGGTTCTTGTAGAATAACAGTCAATGACAGAGGGATCAAGAGGGGGAGGAAAAGTTTGAAGGGTTGGAAATGGATTTTCAGGCATCATCCAAGTTGGGGAAGTACTAGGAAGAAAGATGAAGATTTAATGTTCAAAACCTGAGATAAAAATGTTCATGGACCACAAATGACAAATAACTGTGTTTTTCTGTAGCTTACAAATTGTTGTCTGTGTTTTTATCAGTTTTTTTCATCCTTGTATTTATGTTGATGTTGTTAGTAAATGTTAAAGGAGGTAGCTCATACTAACTGGGATCTTTGCATAACATAAAGAAAAATAAAGTTAAGGTCTGGTATAGCATACACTAAAGCTTAACCAAGGAAAATGTTATGAGCAGACAGAGTTTGTATAATACTTTTTCTCAGAAAATAATGTTATCAGACAGTGTTGAGTCGCTTTTGTTGGATTCTTCTAAATGTCACTGATTAAAACAGAGGATTGTTTGAAATGCACTTGCTGTTGTTTGAAAGGGGCCAAAAAGACAAAAATCACATCCCTATTGTTTCAAAGGCTTGTAGACCAAGTAGGTGTTAGCATGCATTTGTGTTGAGATCTTCTATATACTTTGAAATTTCAGAGAAAGCCCAAAAAGAATATGCCCCCTTTTTCTTTTTCTCCAATATCAATAAAGGATAGTATACCATCCCAAGAGAATATATATAAACAGATGAAGTTTGGTTTTTGACCTTTTTCATTTACGACAATTATTTTTTTCTTCGAGAGGGCATTTGAATACATGACCTCCGATGCGAAAAAGGTAAGTTTTATAAACCAAGTGAGCTACAAACCTCTTACATTTAAGACAAGATTTAAACTCTAGGTTCCGCTTCTTTGTCACCACAGCTTAATTTTACTTCATTGAGTTATGGACTTGTGAACAATGGACTGATCCTCAGACCAAGTTGAATGTTGGACCACAGCTGCATAAGAAGATCCCTTTTTCTTTTCTTTTTGGCCTTGGAAGCAACAGCAATGAAGTCTTGTAGACCTTGAATTTTTATTGAAGGCCTTAATGGTCAAGCATGATTTATTTCAGGCCCAAACAATGTCTATTGTTCTTCTGTCACAGACATATTCAGCAAATTTTGGCTTTATTCTCTCCCCTGGATTCTAGCTAGCGAGCCATTAGCTTGTTTGATACTTGAATGAAGTAATAAAGTTTGGAAAGTGAAATATCTAACATTTCAACATCATGTGAAAGCCACCAACCCACAAGAGCCCTTGGCCAATCAACAACAACATGCTGGCAAATCTTATCAAGAATTGCAGACCAAGTGGTGGAATTTGTTCACCTAATTATTAATGACATTCAACACGTCAAATAATAGTCAACCATTGACTATGTCAATTTCTGTATTCACTTCTTCTCTGGGATGGGATCGACGACCCTCCAAGAAAACTTACAAAGCATAAGAATTTCTTTCCTTTTTGTGTTAAGAAGAAAAAAGCAGAGAGACGAAGAGTGCGGCAGAATCAGAATGTATGTGACAAGGCCTCTTTCCATGTTCAAAAACTCCCCTGCTGATCTTTCATTGCCTCCACCGGAGGGTCCAAACTCTGGTATTCTTGTCGTCCAAGATGAAGAAGCTACATGCTGTTTTGGGTTATTCAACAGCGAGATGATCAAAGACCTGCCTCTCCCTCAGAACAAGAAACTGGAGCTTTACTATGCAACAGGGTTTTATCCCAACAGAAATATGCATTTCTACAATGTTTTCTTCATCCCAGTTCTTAATCAGCCTTTGTCTTCCAACCGCTACTATGCAATATATCCATATGGGAAGGATAGAGGGTAAGCAAGCACACATAAAACAATCCCATATCACATTGATTTTTAAAATTTAATATGAGGGTTTATACTTATAATTGTGTTTTTTGGTTTGTTTGTTTTGCAGGGAAGGCTACACAAGCTCAAAAGAGGAGGACATGGAAATGGACACGTGCTGCTTGGACTGCTGCCGCGGTCGTAACGATGTACTACCGCAGCATTTTGATCCCCGGAACTTACATCAGCAATATGAGATTCATCTTCAAACAAGAATCATTAATGTGTCAGGTGGTTTTGTAGCCAAATCAATGGCTCAAGATGGGTTTCCTCCAGAGGCATTGTGGAGGAGAGGGTGGAAACTCAAAAGCTCAACGTCGCATGAATTCGAACTAGGTGATGCACCAGGACTAGACACCGCCCTCCGTGCCTGTCTTCCAGATTTCAATTTCCCACTAAAGCCTGTGGTTGTAGGGAAGTGGTATTGTCCCTTCATGTTTGTTAAGGAAGGGACACCAAAATCTATGAGAGATGAAAGAACTAGGTCAATGTATTATGAGATGACACTTGAGCAAAAGTGGGAACAAATATTTGCAAGGGATCATCATAGTAACCACCGTGATCAAAGCAATGCTGTGGCTGTGGATGCTGTTGTGCAAAGTGAAGTGGTTATGGTTGCAGAGAGGGAAGCTGTGTGTGATGAGAGAAGTGTGGGTGATGGGGTGATGGAGTTTAAGAGTTTGAACAATGTTGGAGAAGAGACAAGGGTTGGGGTGAGCTTAGCAATTGTTGAGAGAATGAAGTGGGAACAAGAAAGGGTTGGGTGGGTTGGTGGGGATGTTGAAGGTCTAGTGAGAGTGCAGAGGGTAGAGGAATATGGAGGGATGGGTGAGTGGAACAAGTTTGGTTGTTTTGTATTGACTGAGAGGTTTGCCTTGAAAAGAATGGATGGAAGCTTGGTATTTACCCATGATTTCAAGCACACTCATCAGATTAGGAGCAAATGGGAATGAAAAAAATACGCAGTTGTTGTATGCATACCAAAAACTCAAATTGGGTTTTTTATTTTCTAGACATTCTTGTAGCTTGTGGACTCAGTATGCCTTCTGAGAAACTACTTGATTTAAGGAAGTGTAAATTAAGACTTTTAAATCACAGGAATGTTTTGATCAATGTGTTTACAATGTCCCCTGTTTTGTTCCTAACAGTTCTTATAAATTAAGGCTTCTGAGTTTGACCATTCCACTGGATTGAATCTTCAAGCATAACCAGAATTACCAAAACATTGGACTGATTCTCAGTTCAAAGCCAAATTCGAGTTCAAACATATCTTCTTCATACGGCTAAAGTTTTTCTAATGATAAGGATGACTCAGAATTGAAAGAAAATATCAAGAATTCCTTACTTTTGGACTGCTTCAAAGTTCAGATCTTTTTTGATTCACAGCCAATCATTGGTCTTCCACTTGGCATCAAACTGTTGGCATCCCCATCTTAACGAAAGAAGCAGGGAGAAAGCTCAATACGAGGGTAATTTCTTCGCAGGTTCCATGTCAAATGGTGAACGAATAAATCCACCTTCCTTGTCGAATCAGTCCCATTAGACATGCTCTTAATAAAAGTCAAAAGGTTGATTTGTACTACGAATAAATTTCAATAACTTGTGCAAATTGTATACGCAAACTTGAAAACTTTTCATAGTATAAATAAACCAGGATCTATATGATCCTTGGGACCAAAAGTACAAGAAGCAAAAAGTTGATCAAGAAATTTAGAGAGAAAATGTACGTGACAAGGCCTCTTTCTATGTATCTAAGGGACCCTTCCATGGTCACCTTGCCACCCCCAGAGGGTCCAAACTCAGGTATTTTGGTCATCCAGGATAAAGAAGCGGAGCCTAGAGTTTTCTTTGGTTTGTTTAAAGGCCACGAGCTCCATGACCTGCCTTTCCCTCAGAACAAGAATCTAAAGCTTCGCTATTCCACAGGAGTGGGAGAAAACCAACATGTTTCTCATTTCTACACTGCCTTCATTCCAGTTCTTAACCAGCCATTGGCTTCGAATCGGTACTATGCTATACAGTCGCGTGGAAGGTGTGAAGGGTATGCATGCTACCTCAAATTGAACTTAATTCTAGTATTGTAACCAATCCATTTAAAAATAATAATTTTGAATGAACTTACTGACACTTGCAGGCAAGCATACACCTGCTCAACAGAGGAGGACCTGGGAACCTGCTGCTTCTGCACTTTTGTAAAGGACGTACCATCACAGCCTTTCAATCCCAATAACATATACCAGCAATTTGAGATCCAGCAAACGGGAAGATTCAATCGCGGCTTTGTTGCCAAAGCCATAGCTTCAGATGGGTACCCTCCAAAGTTTCTTGGAAGAAAAGGGTGGGAAATATATACCTCAACTCCTCGTGACTTCGATTTAGGTGAAGCACCAGGTCTTGACACTGCACTACGTGCCCGCCTTCCAGATTTTGGCTTCCCATTATCGAGTACGAGCTCGAACCCCGTGGTTGTGGGGAAGTGGTATTGTCCCTTCATGTTCATTAAGGAGGGAACACCAAAAGATCAAATGAGTAGGACCAGGTATTATGAGATGACACTTGAGCAAAGATGGGAACAAATATTTGCATGTGACAGTAATAATAGTGAAGGAAAAGCTGTGGTTGTTGATGTTTCTGTGCAAAGTGAGTACGTTGCTGTTGCTGGGAATGTGGAAGCTGTGCATGAAGAGAGGGATGTGGTTAATGGGGTTATGTGGTATAAGGGTTTTAACAATGTGGGAGGAGAGAGCGGTGTCGGGTTGAGCTTAGCAATTGTGGAGAGGATGAAGTGGGAGCAACAAAGGTTTGGATGGTTTGTGGGGAATGAAAGGCAAGTGAGAGTGAATAAAGTAGAGGAGTTTGGGGGAATGGGAGGGTGGAGGAAATTTAGTTGCTATGTTTTGGTTGAGAGGTTTGTATTGAAAAGAATGGATGGAAGCGTGGTCCTAACTCATGGTTTTAGACACACTCATCATATCAGGAGCAAATGGGAGTGAGATTTTTGCTCTTCTTTTGGTTTGGGATGGCAAAATCCATTTTGCCCTGTTTTATGTCCCCATTGATCCTTGGAGATTAGCATATACATTGTTATTTGATCCAATGCAGTAATATTATTTTTATTTTTTTTATTTTTTGATGTATTACATTAGCTTGGTTGAAATTTTAAAGATTAGCCGTCCACAAGAAGTTGAAGTTGAAGGTTAACTGATTAATCAAACTATTAAAATAAATTTAAATCTATATCCCTATGATGTTTCAATTCAATCTCAGACACAGACATTAAGCTTAAAAAAAGACCTTTCCAGCTTATATGGTGATTGTGAAATGCGTGAACCTTCCTGGCAGGTTCTACAAATTCTGGCCCTTGGGTTAAGATTAACAACACTGGCAACACGAGAAAATTGACTCTAATATTATCTGCACAGAACAATTTTCTAAATTATAATTAAAAGTTTTTTTGGATGTGTTCATTAGCTTGGTTGGAATTTTCAAGATTAGCTGTCCACAAGAAGTTAAGGTTAACTGATTATATTAAAGTATAAATTAAAATTTATCATTGTAGAGAACCCACAAGAGCCCTTGGCAAATCTTACAACCACATGCTGGGCAAATCTTACAACCACATGCTGGCAAATCTTATCAAGAATTGCAGACCAAGTGGTGCAATTTGTTCACTTAATTATTAATGACATTCAACACGTTAAATAATAGTCAACCATTGACTACGTCAATATCTGTGTTCACTTCTTCTCTGGGATGGGATCGACCCTCCAAGAAAACTTACAAAGCATAAGAAATTCTTTCCTTTTTGTGTTGAGAAGAAAAAAGCAACCCCCCAGCAAAATGTATGTGACAAAGCCTCTGTCTTTGTATAGAAGGTCTCCTCAGTCACTGTCGTTGCCACCACCGGAAGGGCCAAATTCTGGTTATCTTGTTCTCCATGACGACGAATCGGTGGAGATGACATGTTGCGGATGCGCTGATGACCGGGTTAAAGACCTGCCTTTCCCTCAGAACAAGGATCTAACAGTTGGATATGGCTCAGATGATGACGAAGTTACATTCATCCCAGTGCTTAGTCAGCCCTTATCTTCCAATAGATACCATGTGATACTTCGGAGAGGGAACCATAAGGGGTAAGCATAAATATATAAATATTCATACCATTAATTTTCACGCGGCGGTGTTACTGTTACACTGAAATGTTCTATATAAAGTTTAATAGTGGCGTTGAGTTTAATTTGCAGGGAAGCGTGCACAAACTCAAGGGAAGAGGACATGGAGATTGTCTGTTGCGGCTGTACAAATGTTCCAGATGCTAAACCAAAACCACTGGAACCATCAGACGTAAATCAGCAAGTTGAGATCGTTCCTAGGGAGCGTGACAGGGGTTGCTTTGTTGCCAAGTCTGTTGATCCAGATGGGTTTCCTCCTTCCTTCTTGAGGAGAAAATGGTGGACTGTGACCATGCACACACCCCGTCATTACCGATTGGGTGAAGCCTCAGGACTTAACTCTTCACTACGAGCAAGCCTTCCAGGGTTCGATTTTCCACTATCACATGACTGCTCTGTAGCTGTGTTTGTTGGTAAGTGGTATTGTCCTTTCATGTTTATCAAGGAAGGTGGGGTGAAGCTGAAGGACCAAATGAAAAAATGCATGTTCTATGAAATTAGACTTGAGCAAAGATGGGAAAAGATTTTTGATAGCGTTAACGAAAATGTTGAAGGAAAAAATAAAGGTGCTGTGTTTGTGGATGTCTTTGTTCAAAGAGAGGTGGTTTTTATTGGTGGAAGTGAGGCTATTTGGGATGAAAGAAATGTGAGTGGTGAAGGGTTCATGTTGTTTAAGAGTTTTGATGGTGTGGGAGGAGAAACAAGTGTGGGATTGAGCATGAAAGTTGTAGAGAGAATGAAATGGGAACAAGAAAGAGTTGGATGGGTTGGTGGGAATGAAAGACGAGTGAGAGTGGAGAGAGTAGAAGAGTTTGGGGGGACAGGAGGCAGGTGGAAGAGATTTGGTTGTTATGTGTTGGTAGAGAGGTTTGTGTTGAAGAGAATGTCAATGAATGGAAGCTTAGCAGTCCTAACTAATGATTTCAAGCACACACACCAGATTAGGAGCAAATGGGAATGACAGAAACTTAAACTTTGTCGTTGCCATTCTCAATCGCGTTCTCATTCCACTGGCATCTACCTCTACATTTTAATTTGATTGGAACTTTCAAGAAGCTGCCCACAAGAAGTTGAAGATCATTTGTTTAATCAGATTAGCAAAGTAAATTTTCATTGTAAAGAGTATAGATGTGATGTACAAGTGTGCCCATTATAGTATCTTCAATAATTTTTAGTTCTTCGCAATTAGTGTAAGCTTAAGACTTAAAAATTATCCACAAACAAACATCAAACTTGAAGACTTAATTCACCTTTCCAAACAGATGCTGCTTATCACTAAAAGACATAAGAACTTGAGCTCTTGGCCAAAACCGATCAGTAGCTGCTCCATCTGTTTATGACTTCTTCTCCTTCCTTCGCTGCTCCATCTTGCGACGCCTTAGTTCCCTTTGATAAGCTAAAGGAGGCCACTAACATTAACACATGAAATTGACTAATGATAGGGATCTTGATTATGTAATTACTTGTAATTGATTGTAAAGTTATACACTTACCTTATGTATCTAGCAGCTAGGGTAAATCCATTGCTCCTTGTAAACTATATATATTGCAATATAAGCATGCTGGCTGTGATTGTGCAGCAGCCTTTGACCCCTTGCTTAAGATTCCTTTCATGGTATAGAAAGCCTATGTCTAAAGGACATTTTTATTTATTTATTTATTCTTCCGATCCTATGGCTGCTTCTTCTTCTTCCTCCCCTGCCCTCTCTGACCCGACTTTCCCTTCCGCTCTCTCTATCAAATTGGAACGAAGCCACTACCCTGTGTGGTTGGCGCAAATGGTTCCTCTCTTGCGCAGCTGCAACCTATTTAAGTTTGTTGATGGAACTTCCCTCCCCCCTTTGGAATTCCTTCCTCATGAGCCGAACACGGACTCCAGCGCCGACAAGAATGATTTGATTTCCAACCCATTGTATGAGCTTTGGATACAACAAGATCAACAGGTTCTCTCTCCTCTCCCTCTGCTCTTTCTCCTGTTGCGCTCAACACCTTGGCTCGTCAGACATGGGTCGAGCTTGAGTGTCGTTTTGCCTCCCCCTTTGAGTCTCGCCTCTTCGAGTTGCGCCAAGAATTGATGAAGACAGTGCGTGCCGCGTGGTGACTTGTCTATCACTGATTGGCTCGACACGTTGAACTCCATTACTCAGAACCTTGCACTTGCCGGCGATCCCATTTCAGATAAGGAATTGATTAATCACATCCTTGCAACAGCTGGTCCTATGTATGAGACCCCAGTTACTGGCGCACTTTCTCATGAACATTGGATTGATTATCTTGGTCTTGAAGCCTTGCTTTTGCGTGCTGAATGATGACTGCAAGCGTCAAAGCTTCCTCTTGATACTGGTGCTACGGTTTTGGTTGCCTCTCGTGATAGCCGTGGTTGAATGGTGGTGGTGGCAGTCGAACCTTTTCTTGGGAATCTTCAGGTGGTGGCGGCAACTGTAATTCTGGGCAACTGCGATTAGGTGGGTCTAACCATAGTGGCGGTGGTTTCAATCGCACCGGCAACGATGGTGGTTTCAGCCGCGGTTCTTCTTCCCCTTCTCAGTTTGGTGGCGCCGGTGTTCTTGGAGCCTTTCTTGCGATTGATACATGTCTGAAGTTGCAGTGTTTTCAGTGTCGTGGATTTGGGCATAAAGCTATTGACTGTCCCACTCAGGTTCCCATACCCTTTTTTGACAATCGTGGGCGTCCAGCTTAATTGACCGCCTACACCACTATTGGGCATCGCAAACAGGCTAACTCATCTACAATGCAACCTTGGCTAGCAGATTCGGGTACCAATGCCCATGTTACCCCTGATTTGGGCCAGCTTACCAATCATTGTGATTATCATGGAGGAGAACATATTAACGACGTTCTTGGAGGAACACCTGATTCTACATATACTTTACCTAACACTCTTTTTTTTCCTCATGCCTCTTCTAATATTTTGTCTATTAATCAGTTTTGTGTTGATGATTTCGTGTGCAAGATTTGGACACCGGGAGGATCCTTTTCCAGGGACCAAGTAAGAATGGCCTCTATCCATTCTCGATTAGTTCATCAACCCACAACTCTAGTGCTCCAATTGTCTTTCTTGATGTTCGTGTCAGTGGTGCTCTTTGGCACTCCCGACTTGGTCATTCCTCGTTGTTTATTTTTTAGCATTTGATGTCACAAAATAAATTGCCACTCAGTGGCAAAGTTAGTTCTTCGTTGTGTCATTCGTTTCCTTTAGGAAAGAGTCATAAATTGCCATTTGAATTATCTTCTTCAGAGACTTCTGGTCCTTTGGATGAAATCATTTCAAATTGATGGTGGGTTGAGTAATTAATAAGCAATTTCATACTTTTTTGTCTCAACATGACATTTTTCATCATTTTTCATGCCCTCATCATCTTGAACAAAATGGACTCGCGGAACGAAAACATAGACACATTGTTGAAACTGGGCTAACTATGTTAGCCCATGCTTCCATGCCTCTTTCCTATTGGGCTGAGGCTTTTCACATTATTGTCTATCTTATTAATAGATTGCCTTCTTGCATTTTGGGCTTGGTTTCTCCTTATCAGTGTTTATTTCATCGTGAACCTGAATTATGAGTTTTTAAAAACGTTTGCTTGTGTTTGCTTTCTTTATTTTTGACCATACAATCAAAATAAACTTAAACTTAGGTCCACAAAGTGTCTTTTCCTTGGTTATGTTTTGAATCAACGTGGTTATCAGTGTTTAGATTTGTCCACTAGTCGTATGTTTTTATCCAGTCATGTTGTGTTTGATGAACTATCCTTCCCCTTTAAAGATGATCTTACTTCGGCAAAGGATTCCCCGGTCTCCATGTCCTCGATTCCTCTTTATATTGATGATACCCCTCTCCTTGTTTGACACGTGGCGCCTAGGTGCAGGGCGGGTTTTTATTTATTTATAGTAATATAATAGTATAGCTGCTCGGCTATACCATTTTTTTTAAAAAAAAATTTAACCCATAAAATTTCGCCAGCATAGACATCTACCGACGAACTTTCGTCGAGAGAGGGTTTTTTTTTTTTTTTTTGTTTTAATTTAAAAAATATATAATTAGTTTCTTCACTTTTGTCTTTTGGCCAACTTCTTTAATTTAATATATGTAATTAAGTAATATCTTAGCCTTTTTGAAATACTTTAATTAGTAATTATATTTTAATTGAAATTTTTTTTTTTTAAAGTCCATAAAATAATTAATTTCTATTTATTAAGTCATTTGTGAAATCGTTTGGGTGTCTTAATTAAATGGAGAAAGTAAAGCAGGAATAACAGTACCAAGATGAGAGTTAAGGCCAGCCCTTGGGATAAAATTAGGATGATCAAAGGAAGCACTCTTTCACCAAGTTTCCGAACAAGCTCACGCAGCGATCACTGCCACCCTCAAGTAAAGCTTTTCCACAAGTCCCAGCAACCTGGATTAATACAGATTATCTCAGAAACCAAAGACTTAGAAACTCCAAGAAAATATATTTTCTAAAAACCAGCAAGCCTTTGAATAATACTACCATGGATATTGGTACAAGTGAAGGCTCATTTTGAGATATCAAAGACCAGATCTTGTCCTTCACAACCGTCTCCTCTTAGAGTAAACATAAGAAATCTAAAATTCTAAAATGACGGAATTGAAAATTACATAAAATTCTAAAATGACAGAATTTAGATTTTCATTATTTCAATTTCTGGCAATTGAAGATTTCAATGTTTGTATAAGTATGTCAAATTTTGTAAAATGGCACTATGAAAATTGTGAAATGACGCATATTTTGGTGGAAGTCCTTTCTTCCTTCCACATCTCCTGCCTCGACACTCACATATACTCGTAATCCTGCCCGTGCTATTTGTACCTTCCCCTCTCCCTTTGCCACCCCGCCTAGTTCTCTTTCCCATCCGGCTATAGATTCCGCCTCTTCCTCTAATGCGCCACCTGGTACTTCTTCTCCTCTAACTTTGGTAAGTACCCCTCCTCCCAGAATGGTAACTCGGGCCATGGATGGCTTCTGGAAACCCAATCCCAAGTATGCACTTGTTTCTGATGTTAATAACTTATCTGTTGGTCCTTCTTGTTACAATCACACACAGAAGTTCCCTGAGTGGCGTCAAGCGATGGCTGAGGAGTGTATTACCTTGCAACGCATTGGGACTTGGACCTTGGTCCCATATCACTCTTAGATTAATGTTCTTCCAAACAAATGGGTTTTCCGCATCAAATGCCGATTATACGATACTATCGAGTGCTATAAAGCTCGCATTGTTGCTAATGGATTTCACCAATAGGTAGGTATTGATTATGGTGAGACATTCAGTTATGTGGTCAATCACTCTACCATTCGTCTTGTTATTGCTTTGGGTGTTCATTTTACTGGTCTATTCGTCAATTGGATGTTCAAAATGCTTTTCTGCATGGTTCTTTGACAGAGGAGGTGTATATGCTTCAGCCTTCTGGTTTTATTGATCCTCAGAAACCTGATTATGTTTGCCGCCTTAACAAATCCTTGTATGGCCTTAAAGAGGCTCCGCATGCATGGTTTCAATGTTTTTCTTCTCATTTGCTGACATTGGGTTTTGTTGCCTCAAAAGCTAATTCTTCTCTCTTTATATTTACTGATGCCTCAATTTTCATTTATCTGTTGATTTATGTTGATGAGATTCTGGTTACTGGCAATAATGATGCTAGTATTGCCTCTTTCATTGCTAGTTTGGGCAGGTTGTTCTCTATGAAGGACTTGGGTCCCCTCAATTATTTTCTGGGCATGGAGGTGACTCGTACTTCTACTGGTTTTCATTTGTCTCAGTTTAAATATATTTTAGATTTACTCAAGAAGATTAATATGGTTGAATGCAAGCCTGTGTCTACACTTGCTATCTCTGGTCGATGTCTTAGCCTTTTGGACAGTGAACCTTTCTCGGATGTCTCTTAGTACCACAGTGTTGTTGGGGCCCTTCAGTACCTTACCTTGACACACCCGGATATTGCTTTTGATGTTAACCAAATCTGTCAGTTTATGCATAGTCCTACCACTCTTCATAGAATTGTTGTCAAACAGATCCTCTATTATTTAAAGTCCACTTATGCCCTATGGCTTTGACGGCCCTTTCTGATGCTAATTATGCTGGTGATCCTGATGATCGTAAATCCACTGGTGGGTATTGCATTTATTTGGGTTCAAATTGGTTTCTTGGAGCTCCAAGAGATAGCGTGGTGTTTCTCGCTCAAGTACAAAGACCGAATACCCTCAACTTGCCTACACAGTTGCTGCTTTATCCTGGTTTCGTTCTTTGTTTGCTGACTTGCGTCAACCTTTGTCTCCTCCTCAACTTTGGTGTGATAATATTAGCTCCATTTCTCTTGCTTCTAATCCCGTTTTCCATGCTCGGACGCGTCATGTTGAGGTGGACTATCATTATGTTCGTGAACAGGTTGTTGCTCAAGCCTTACATGTTGGTTTTGTGGCCTCACATGATCAAATTGCTAATGTCTTCACTAAGGGGTTGTCATTGCCTCGTTCTCCTCCTTGATCTCCAAGCTTCGAGTTGTTCCTCTCCCGCTTAGCTTGGTGGGGGAGGGGGGCGGCGTGTGATAAGTTAAAGGCGACCACTGGAGCTAACACAGGAAAGTGACTAATTATATGGATCTTGATTATGTAGTTACTTGTAATTGATTGTGAAGTTATACACATACCTTATGTATCCAGCAGCTAGGGTAAATCCACTGCTCCTTGTAAACTATGCTGGCTGTGGGTGTGCAGTAGCCTTTCATCCCTTGCTTGAGATTCCTTTCACCTTCTTTCTTCTTCTACATCTATGGTGAGCCAATTCACAACAAAGAGAATGTCAATGAATGGAAGCTTAGTGTGGGAACCGAATTAATTCATAACCCTAGGTCAAATAATTCTTTCAATTTGGGGATTATTTGACCTAATTGGGAATTATTCAATGTAATTGGGGATTACCCAATTAAATAGAATGTTACCTAATTAGGTTGAGGATTGATTTGATTCCTACGAATATTCTCAATTAATGGAGGAGTTACCTAATTAAATTAGGTATTGATTTGATTGCTACCCTGATGGCCACACACAAGGGTTGAGGTACGTCTAAAATTACTATCAAATCTCTGCAGAAATTATTTCTCACAAACCTTAGCCGCCACTCTCTCTCTCTCTCCCTTTTACACAAGGCTCCGGCCACCACTCACGGCTCCAGCCACCCGGTTTTCACCACACATACATATTTCCGTACCCTATTTTAGCTATCGTTTCTCTATAGATCGATTGAACTGACTTATGCATCGGAGGGCCTTTGGCCAACACCCCCCGGGTGTGGTCCTCTTATTGCTATTCATTTTGCAGGGAGAAAGAGAGGTGGAGAAGACAAAGGAATCTGTCAACCGAATATTCCCGTGGGAGGAAATTTGCTCCCACACTTAGCACTACTCACGTATGTTTCAAGCACACCCACCAAATTAGGAGCAAATGGGAATGAAAGAAATGGAAACTTTTTGTCATTGCCATTCGCATTCTACTAGCATCTACTGCTACATTATTTCAGATTGATTGGAACTTTCAAGATTAACTGCAAACAAGAAGTTGAAGATCAGCTGATTAATCAAATTAGTAAAGTAAATTTTCATTGCAAAGAAGTATAGATGTGATGTAAAAGTGTCCTCATCATAACGTGTTCAATTTTAGTTCTTGGCAATTAGAATGACCGTAACATTCGAAAATTTCTCCGCTATTACAAACGTTAAACTTGAAGATTCCAAGCAGGTTATCTATTTGAGAAAGAGTGTTGCTATTTCCACCCTTGTCCTATCTCCCACCCACCTTATTTTCAAAATTTTACCCCTTTGTAAAATGACTTATAAGCACTATCTAATTTTTTGACACATGTCCATTGACTTAACCTATACATTAGTGTTCACTTTTAATAACTAAAAAAGAAACAAAAACTTCACAATTTCAACCTTTAATCCTCTTTGGTTCCGGGGGCCACCTCTCTTTCGGCTAATAAACCGGGCTCACATCTCTCTCCCCCCCCC